GAATAAAAAATATAAAAATGTTCTTCAGACTAATTTAATTTCAAACTTAAATTAGTTGAAGAAAGTACAGTGTAAAGAAACAGTTGTAAGTAACAAATAAAAGTACTAATAAAATACTGTAAATTACTAACGTTTGATTTTTATTACATATATTGTAGTATTTAGCTTGTATCCCAATCTTCAAGTTTCCACTAATCAATGAAAGTATTAGAGACGATAATTTTTATAAAAAAATTTTTGTTTGCGATATAAAAAGAAGTGAGTAATTTCTGAAACTCATACATTTGCGTTGTAGAACAACAATAAATTATCTACTTTATGCTTTACGCATTTAACAATCTTTCAATCTTTCAATGAAAATGAAATACGCAACCACCGCTCCGTTATATCACAAAGAAGCCTCTATGGAATACTTACATAAGAACCAGGAAGATAATATAACATTACGCTTAGTGTTTTGACTAATTTTTATCAATTAATATTAATGATAGTTGTAATTGATAATAGTACAACATATCGCAACCGTCGTTTTGTCTTTCTCTCTTCTAACCATGGAAGCCTAATGAGATGTTAATATGTTTGATCAAGAGCGATAAACGGAAAACATAAAAATCTTGAATGTTATCTGAGTTAATCATATGCTTCTACAAGTACCACCGGGTATAAATATTTGACTGTTACAATTGATTTGTATTCCATTAATAAGTAAGAGGTCGTCGTCTTTGGGGTAAAATGGCTAAGATTATTTTAAAATATTCTGACATATTCAACATTATCATGCATTTATTTCTAATAATTGCGATTGGTTTGTGTGCTACACCACTCATTTGCAGTGGGAATGAAGTTGATGAAATAATTGTAAATATTAAACAAGGAACTCTTCGAGGTAAACAACAAACTGGTGTCACAGGGGACAAATATTACAGTTTCAAAGGAATTCCTTACGCAAAACCACCATTGGGCAGACTAAGATTTAAGGTAATACGTTGTTAATTGTTTGTATGTAAGTAAACAAAAATTGTTTAGTATTTACATTTTGTAAAAAAGAAGTTTAAAATTAAATGCTATGAAATCGTAGACAGAAAGGAATTAAGTAAAAGATGTAGAATATTTTGAAAAAAGCAATAACTAAGGACATAAAAATTGCAACTTATTCAGAAAGTAAATGATTGGAAACAAAGTAAATATTAGCAAGAAAGTAGTAATAAATTATATAGGATAGGTTAAATGAATGGAACAATACCAGAACATGTAATGTCATGATGTAATTTATTAAGAACAGACGAACATGTAGAAAAACTAAAGGTAGCATCAAAAATAGGTTAGATGAAAAAAGTATTGGAACTAAGAGAACAAAAGGTTAAGAAAAAATAATAAAATATCGTGTTTCGATATAAAACATCCCATATCCTGAAAGGGAAACCAGTATTTTAATAAAAAAAGAAATGTTTAGGTATGTCAAGAAATTATTTCTATAATGCACAGTCAGGATTTGTAGAATCCCAATAATATAGGAGAACCTTGATCTCAAGTTTTTGTAAATGTTTGTTATAATAAACAAAAAACAGTTTGTAGCATTTTGTCCTTACGATTAGATAAAAGATGCAAAGAAAGCTTAATGTATGTACTGATTACACTTTATATTTCTATGTCTTTTATAGAATTTATTTGTGTGTTATAATACTTGTTATTTTTGTAGGCACCTCAGCCACCCAAATCTTGGAACGGTGTGAGAGATGCAACAGAACATAGAAACAGATGTATTCAACAATTGAATTTCAATTCAGCGAAAGAATCAGAAGATTGTCTTTACATAAACGTGTACACCCCAGAGGTAACTAATGCATCATTACATAAAATTCAGTATAAGAATTAATGATCAAACATTTATCCACAGGATCCAAATTATTCCGCGAATAAACTAAAACCAGTAATGTTTTGGACACATGGCGGCGGCTTCGAAACAGGGTCCGGTAATTCTGACATGTTCGGTCCTGATTACTTGGTACAAGAAAATATAATACTTGTAACTTACAATTATCGGCTGGGTATCTTTGGTAAATTACAAAATTAACAATTGTTAAAACACTTTCGCAACAACAAATAACGTTTAGGATTTCTAAGAGTTGACGATCCAACTATTGGAATTCCTGGAAATGCTGCGATGAAAGATATGGTAATGGCATTAAAATGGACCAAAGACAATATTTTAAATTTTGGAGGTGATCCAGACAATATCACCATTGCTGGACTAAGTGCTGGTGGTGCAGCAACGAACTTACTAACATTATCTCCGTTAACAAGAGGTAAAACTGATTATAACAGTTACATTTCCTTACATTGAGTAGCTTTATCAAAAAAAAAATTGATAAACTTCAATAACAAATAATAGATGTACGTTCAGCGATCCATATAAACATGACTGCGAATAAACAGTAAAAACCCAATATTTCACAAAACGTTTAGAAACCTAAAAGTCGTTTAAAAAGCCAGGCGCAATAAAAGCCCAGTACCCCTCACCAAACTCCTAGCTTTCCCCAGAAGGTATCGTTCTTATTTTTTTTTTGTAAGGTTTCTTCAAAAGAGCAATAATAGAAAGTGGTAGTGCTCTGGCCATATGGAGCATTGTTTTGCCAGAAACTAATCCACTAAATGAAGTAGCCAAAAGTTTAAATATGTCCCACAAAAGTGAAAAGCAGATAGTAGAAAAACTACACAAATTATCTGCCAAGGATGTCATAGCTGCTCAAATACGAGTAAACGTGAGTTACAGTAAATACTCTGTCAATCTATGAAAACTAAATGTACCAATTTTAATTTAAGTACATTCCTGGTAATCCAATGATTTTCGGCCCAACAGTTGAAAAATCGTCTAATGAAACGGCATTTATATTAGATCATCCACTCAATATTATTAGATCAGGAAATTATAATAAGGTGCCTATTCTATTCGGATATGTTTCGAGAGAAGGGATGTTCTTTAGATCAAGCGGGTTGAACTTTCTTATAAGAGATATAGAAGACTTTATTCCATTTGCATGGAGAATTCCAAAAGGATCTTCAAAATCAAAGGAATTAGCAGAACAAATTGCAAAATTTTACTACAAAGGAGAAAAGCCAACTCTGGACAATGTTGATATAACATACACGGTAAAATAATTTAATTTCCGAAACGCCGAATATTCTCTCAACATATTATACATATGATTTAATATTATGACGTATGGACTATTTTTAGCTATTATCAGATACCCATTTTATTAATTCAATATTTCAAACCATGAGAGAACAACTAAAAGTGTCAAATGAAGAAATTTATCTCTACCGTTTCTCAGTTGATGGTAGAAACAATTTAGTGAAGAAGATGTATAATATAGAATTACCCGGTAAGTTAACAGTTCCACCCTAGTTATGCAATTTCTCATACATACGCCATTGCTTGATGCTAACACAACTACATTATCTACTAATCTAATCTTCTTTATCTTTTGCTCTTACATATCGGTCCCTAATGATGTCCTGTCCTCATTAATATTACTCGATATATACTTATCTACAGTAAAAAGTATTAGCGGTGACAAACTGAATCCTTATCCACCCCTTTCCTTATATCTACCCCTCAAGAAATAATAAGTAAATATATGAATACGCATCTCTTTTCTCTTATACTGTACGTATTAAGGCATTTGGTTAAATTGATGTAGCAAATATATGAGTTATAAGCTCCAATATTGTTTATGTTATAGTGACTTTCTACTAATAGAGTTTACGATGTATTAATAATTCCAAATCGATTTATTTATATTGAAGGGGTCTGTCACGGTGATAACAACTTATATCGATTTATGGATACAACTGTCTCTCTTGAAGTGATGCCAAACAGTGTAGAGGACCTGACAATAAAAAGATTCGTCAAATTATGCGCCAATTTTGTAAAATATGGGAACCCAACATTAGGAGAGAAGTCGGATTTGATAAACATTAAGTGGGATCCAATCTCAGAAGAGGAATTTACGTTTTTGGATCTGGGTGAAAATTTATCCGTGGGGGTGAATCCAGATTTGCATAGACAATCGTTTTGGGATGAGCTGCGACAGTCAATAGAAAATTGAATTAATAAGCCTATGGAAAACTAAGAACAAATTATGTAAATAAAATTGTTAAGAACATTCGAAAATTAGTTAGGAATAGAATGCTGTAAAAGCCGTTTTTGTTATAGAAAATATATTTTTAGTATAAAAATCAGCTGATTATTGTTTTCTTTCTTACAACTAAACCGTTCCTTTTGCTTCAATAATGTTAAATATAAAAGGTTCATGTCAATCACATGAAGGAATTTACGCAACTTATAAGAATGCCTTTCCAAAAGCTAAGCGTTGAAACGTCTGTTCAACATAGGCGTAGCAACGATATTTCTCCTAGAGGGGGCTCAAATTTTCAACTCTGTCTAACATTAACATAAGGGATAGCTTTCCAATAACTAAAACAGTATGATCACAATAGTTTCTGGAGAAATTTCACAAAAAGGAATACATATATATGAAAATTATTGTAGATTTATCTTGTTATTTATACCTGGTCCACCTGGCCCCTCATTTGCTACGCCAATGCTGTTAAAACAGCACAAAAAAGTGTGATAGAATCGGTAATACTAGTCGCATTTCAAAAAAAAATAAAACGGATCTTTTAACATCTTAATAACACGATTAATGTGCCAAGTTCTGATGTGTTTTCGGTTATTATTGTATTGTAAGATGAATATGAAAGTCTCGAGAGCAAGGGTGGTGATCAATAGAGTTGGCAATACACCTAAACTAGTCAAGAAATGAAGGCCCAAAAATTGCAACAATGTTAAGAAAGGATAGCGGAAATTAAAAAAGAAAACATTAAAGGAGCTTACTCCATAATTAATAAACACTTGCTTTTTCTATAATTTGGGATGAATAAAAAATATAAAAATGTTCTTCAGACTAATTTAATTTCAAACTTAAATTAGTTGAAGAAAGTACAGTGTAAAGAAACAGTTGTAAGTAACAAATAAAAGTACTAATAAAATACTGTAAATTACTAACGTTTGATTTTTATTACATATATTGTAGTATTTAGCTTGTATCCCAATCTTCAAGTTTCCACTAATCAATGAAAGTATTAGAGACGATAATTTTTATAAAAAAAATTTTGTTTGCGATATGAAAAGAAGTGAGTAATTTCTGAAACTCATACATTTGCGTTGTAGAACAACAATAAATTATCTACTTTATGCTTTACGCATTTAACAATCTTTCAATCTTTCAATGAAAATGAAATACGCAACCACCGCTCCGTTATATCACAAAGAAGCCTCTATGGAATACTTACATAAGAACCAGGAAGATAATATAATATTACGCTTAGTGTTTTGACTAATTTTTATCAATTAATATTAATGATAGTTGTAATTGATAATAGTACAACATATTGCAACCGTCGTTTTGTCTTTCTCTCTTCTAACCATGGAAGCCTAATGAGATGTTAATATGTTTGATCAAGAGCGATAAACGGAAAACATAAAAATCTTGAATGTTATCTGAGTTAATCATATGCTTCTACAAGTACCACCGGGTATAAATATTTGACTGTTACAATTGATTTGTATTCCATTAATAAGTAAGAGGTCGTCGTCTTTGGGGCAAAATGGCTAAGATTATTTTAAAATATTCTGACATATTCAACATTATCATGCATTTATTTCTAATAATTGCGATTGGTTTGTGTGCTACACCACTAATTTGCAGTGGGAATGAAGTTGATGAAATAATTGTAAATATTAAACAAGGAACTCTTCGAGGTAAACAACAAACTGGTGTCACAGGGGACAAATACTACAGTTTCAAAGGAATTCCTTACGCAAAACCACCTTTGGGTACACTGAGATTTAAGGTAATACGTTGTTAATTGTTTGTACGTAATTGTAAACAAAAATTGTTTAGTATTTGCATTTAGTAAAAAAAAAAGTTTGGAGGTCAATGCTACGAAATCATAGACAGAAAAGAATTAAGTGAAAAATAAGTAAAAGAAAAAAATACGAAATTTAGAAAAATAGGGACCAGTAGACATTACAGAATATCTTAAAATAAGCAAGAATAAAGGACATAAAAATGGTAATTTGTTTAGAACAGCAAATCAATGAAGACAAAGTAGATATTAGTAAGAAAGTAGCAAAAAAATTATGTAGGATACGTGAAGTGAATGAAGAACCATGTAATGCCATGTTGTAATTTCTTAAGAGCAGACATATATAAAAACTAAAGGTAGTGTGGCTACACATATTTGCCACATATATTTTTGTTACGATATGATATCACTTATATATTTTTGATATTTGATATATTGATATTTTTCCCAACTCAATATTGTAACGTATAATTCAATTCTTTCTTTTGTAAATATTTCCTATTGTTATTATGTAAATATGCTTTCAAATGTATCTTCTCAAAACCTTTTGTATCTGTACCTTTCTATTATTCTCTCTACAAATTACTTTACTACTTGTACTTTCCACTAATCCCTTAACATTTTAATTTCGTTTACTAACAGCATGAGCTGTATAATTCTTATTACTTCTTAATTGCATTTTAATATTGGGTTTCTAGGTACATTGGGGCGAAATCTTTTTCTTAGTATTTCATCTAATCACTCTTTCCAAGTTTCATTCTCTTCTGATTCGATCCCTACTTTAGTTAAAATACTTCTAGCTCCACCCTTTTAATCTTCGTTAAAATTTATTTTCAAGACTACTAACACTTCCGATCTATTATTCAACTGTTCTACTTCATCCTTCAGCGATCGTTAATTAAATTTGTTAAGTTTTAATTGTGTTTTATTCAGTAATTTTACTTTTGCAAAGTGTGTTTAATTCCACCAAAAAACCTAAAGTAGCATCAAGAATAGGTTAAATGAAGAAAGTATTGGAACTAAGAGGACAAATGGTTGAGATGTAATATTAATAAAATATCAAACTTCGATATAATACATCCCATATATCTTGAAAGAGAAATTAGTACTTTAATAAAAGAAGACATGTTTAGGTATGTCAAAAAATGATTTCAATCATGCACAGTTAAGATTTGTATAATCCCATTAATATAGGAGAACTACTCGATCTTAAGTTTTTGTAAATGTTTGTTATAATAAAAAACAGTTTGTAGCATTTTGTTCTTACGATTAGATAAAAGATGCAAATAAAGGTTAATGTATGTACTGATTACACTTTATATTTCTATATCTTTTATAGAATTTATTTGTTTGTTACAATACTTGTTATTTTTGTAGGCACCTCAGCCACCCGAATCATGGACTGGTGTGAGAGATGCAACCGTACATAGAAGCAGATGTATCCAACAATTGAATTTTATATTAGAAAACGAATCAGAAGATTGTCTTTACATAAACGTGTACACCCCAGAGGTAACCAATGCATCATTATATAAAATTCAGTATAAGAATTAATGATCAAACATTTATCCACAGGATCCAAATTATTCCGCGAATAAACTAAAACCAGTAATGTTTTGGACTCATGGTGGCGGCTTCGAAACAGGATCCGGTAATTCTGACATGTTCGGTCCTGATTACTTGGTACAAGAAAATATAATACTTGTAACTTACAATTATCGGCTGGGTATCTTTGGTAAATTACAAAATTAACAATTGTTAAAACACTTTCGCCTAAACGAATAACATTTAGGATTTCTAAGAGTTGACGATCCAACTATTGGAATTCCTGGAAATGCTGCAATGAAAGATATGGTAATGGCATTAAAATGGACCAAAGACAATATATTAAATTTTGGAGGTGATCCAGACAACATCACCATTGCTGGACTAAGTGCTGGTGGTGCAGCAACGCACTTACTAACATTATCTCCGTTAACAAGAGGTAATACAGATTACAACAGTTACATTTCCTTACACTGAGTACCCTTATAAAAACAAATTGATAAACTTTAATAACAATTAATATAAGTATGACGGGAATAAACAATACAAATCCAATTTTTCACAAAATGTTTAGAAACCTAAAAGTCGTTTAAAAAGCCAGGCACATTTAAAGCTCAGTGCAACCCATAATACCATCACCAAACTCCTACCCTTCCCCAGAAAGTACCGCGTACCACACTAATAATTAAGGATTATTACCACTCAATTATTACCACTCAATAATCTTATTTTTTTTAAGGTCTCTTCCAGAGAGCAATCATCGAAAGTGGTACTGGTCTGGCCATGTGGAGCACTGTTTTGCCAGAAATAAATCCAGTACATGAAATAGCCAAAAGTTTAAATGTGGCACACAAAAGTGAAAGGCAGATAGTAGAAGAGCTATACCTTTTATCTGCCGAAGAAGTTATAGGCGTTCAAAAACAAGTAAACGTGAGTTACAGTAAATACTCTCTCAATCTATGAAAACTAAATGTACCAATATTAATTCAAGTACATTCCTGGTAATCCAATGATCTTCGGACCAACAGTTGAAAAATTGTCAAATGAAGCGGCATTTATATTAGATCATCCACTCAATATTATTAGATCAGGAAATTATAATAAGGTACCTACTATATTTGGATATGTTTCGAGGGAAGGGATGTTGTTTAAAACAAGCGGGTTAAACTTCCTTACAAGAGATATAGAAGACTTTATTCCATTTGATTGGAGAATTCCAAAAGGATCTCCAAAATCAAAGGAATTAGCAGAACAAATTGCAAAATTTTACTACAATGGAGAAAAGCCAACCGAGGACAACGTTGATATAACATACGTGGTAAAATAATTTAAAATTTCTCTTGACTTTTGGCTTTAATTTCTGAAACGTCGAATATTCTCTCATTATTTATATTTTCAGCTATTAACNGTTCAAAAACAAGTAAACGTGAGTTACAGTAAATACTCTCTCAATCTATGAAAACTAAATGTACCAATATTAATTCAAGTACATTCCTGGTAATCCAATGATCTTCGGACCAACAGTTGAAAAATTGTCAAATGAAGCGGCATTCATATTAGATCATCCACTCAATATTATTAGATCAGGAAATTATAATAAGGTCCCTACCATATTTGGATATGTTTCGAGAGAAGGGATGTTGTTTAAAACAAGCGGGTTAAACTTTCTTACAAGAGATATAGAAGACTTTATTCCATTTGATTGGAGAATTCCAAAAGGATCTTCAAAATCAAAGGAATTAGCAGAACAAATTGCAAAGTTTTACTACAATGGAGAAAAGCCAACCGAGGACAACGTTGATATAACATACGTGGTAAAATAATTTAAAATTTCTCTTGACTTTTGGCTTTAATTTCTGAAACGTCGAATATTCTCTCATTATTTATATTTTCAGCTATTAACAGATACCCATTTTATCAATTCAATGTTTCAATCCATGAGAGAACAATTAAAAGTGTCAAATGAAGAAATTTATCTCTATCGTTTCTCAGTTGATGGTAGAAACAATGTAATGAAGAAGATCTATAATATAGCATTACCCGGTAAGCTAACAGTAGCACCCTAATTATGCATTGTAACATACCAATGAACTACAGAAACAGTGTAAACTGTCTAATGTGAAACTCAAGTGCCCTATCATTTCTTTTGTCACAAAGAATTTTCGTTTAGCAATACTTAACGGTATAAAGAAACAAAATTTTACAAATTAAATTTTTCATCATCATAAGGTCGTCCATGTTTCGCACTCGTACAGCGCCGCGCGCCAAACATGCACCTTTAATGTGTGACATAAAATTATATGGAATGGCGTGGCATGGCATGTTTAGACAGTATTTTAGAATTGGTTCAAATTCCTGTCTCGATCCATGTTTTTTTCTTTGCTTTCCTTGAACCGCGTAGGAAAAAGCTACAGCAGCAATATTTCATAGTTAGATTTTCACTCAATAAGGACTCCAATCTGATTAATACTACGTAAATACTGGCTAAATAAATATAATCATCATAGGGTTGTCAATCCAAAACAGTCTGGGCAGGCGCCTCCACTCCTTCATACGCTTAACCAATCTTAGCATTTATCTAAATTAACCGTTCGCGAGCATAGAACTGACTCCTTTTTGTTGAAGGCGACTCGATCGTGAGCTATCCTTTGTTTTATATCTCTACGCTCCTTCCAACTTGAGCTTTCTGACTTCCTAGATACTAACGACCACTTCTTCTACTTTTTTGTCTCCTATCTTTATATTCGCTCTTTCCCTACTTTTTCGTTCCTTTCGTATGTGTATTTTTGTTTTACTTTTATTTATTTTCATACAATACCGTTTTATCAATACCGTTTCCATTTTATTTTAAGCAATACCTCATTCGCCCTAACACAACTACTTTATCTACTAATCTAATCAACTTTATCTTTTGCTCTTACATATCGGTCCCTAATGATGTCCCGTGCTTATTAATATTACTCGATATATACTTAAAGTAAAAAGTATTAGCGGTGACAAACTGCATCCTTCTCCACCCTTTTCCTTATATTATTATTTTCTCAGGAAATAATAAGTAAATATGTAAATATGCGTCTCTTTTCTTTTATATTGAACGTATTAAAGCATTTGGTTAAATTGAGGTAGCAAATATATGAATTATAAGCTCCAATATTGTTTATGTTATAGTGACTTTCTACTAATAGAGTTTACGATGTATTAATAATTCCAAATCGATTTATTTATATTGAAGGGGTCTGTCACGGTGATAACAACTTATATCGATTTATGGATACAACTGTCTCTCTTGAAGTGATGCCAAACAGTGTAGAGGACCTGACAATAAAAAGATTCGTCAAATTATGCGCCAATTTTGTAAAATATGGGAACCCAACATTAGGAGAGAAGTCGGATTTGATAAACATTAAGTGGGATCCAATCTCAGAAGAGGAATTTACGTTTTTGGATCTGGGTGAAAATTTATCCGTGGGGGTGAATCCAGATTTGCATAGACAATCGTTTTGGGATGAGCTGCGACAGTCAATAGAAAATTGAATTAATAAGCCTATGGAAAACTAAGAACAAATTATGTAAATAAAATTGTTAAGAACATTCGAAAATTAGTTAGGAATAGAATGCTGTAAAANTTTTTGTTACAGAAAATATATTTTTAATATAAAAATTAGCTAATTATTATTGGTTTTTCTTCTTTTTTACAACTAAACCGTTCCTTTTACTTCAATAATATTAAATATAAAAGGTTCATGTTAATTACATGGAGCGACTTACGCAACACATAAGAATGCTTTTCGAAAACCTAAACGTTGAAACGTCTGCTGAACATTGGCTTAGCAACGATTTTTTCCTAGAGGGGAGCGCAAATTTTCAACTCTACCTAACATTAATTAGCATTTGCCACTTAAACATAGTGTAAGGGATGACTTTCCAATAACTAAAAGTGTATGATCACAATAGTTTCTGGAGAAATTTCTACAATAATAGATTTATCTTGTTATTTATACCTGGTCCACCTGGCCCTCCATTTGCTACGCCAATGTACAAAAAAGTGTGATAGAATCGGTAATACCAGACGCATTTCATGAAAAATAGAACGGATCTTTTAACATCTTAATAACACGAAAGGATACGGAAAATCCAAAAAGAAAAACGAGCTTATTCTATAATTGATAAGCACTTCCTTTTTCTATAACAAACTAAGAGGAATGTAAATTGTAAAAATGTTCTTCAGACTAATTCAATTTCAAACTTAAATTAGTTGAAGAAGGTATAGTGTATCGAAACAGCTGTAGGTAAGTAACAAATAAAATAGTGTAATTACATATATTGTAGTATTTAGCGTGTATCTCAATCTTCAAGTTTCCACGAGTCAATTAAAGTATTAGAAACTATAATGTTTATAAAAAATAAATAATAATAAATAATTTGTTTGCGATATAAAAAGAAGTAATTTCTGAAACTCATAAATTTGCGTTGTAGAATAACAATAAATTATCTACTTTATGCGTTACGCATTTAACAATCTTTCTATCTTTTAATCAAAATGAAATACACAACCACCTGAGCTGTAAGATAAGATTCGTAAGTATTTTTACTGATGTTTAACCGCTTCTTTCTGGTGCCCCTATGGAATACTTACTTTAGAATCAGGAAGATAATAATATATAATACCATATTTAATGTTTTAACTAATTTTTATCAATTTATATACATGATCGTTACTGCTGATAATACTACAATTTTACGTCTACTCTTTGTATTTGTCTTTTTTAATCATTGAAGGCTACTGAGAAGTCAAATTGCGATAAAAGAAAACATAAAAATCTGTATGTTATCTATATTTATCATAAGTGCCACCGAGTATAAATGTTTAGCCGATACCAATGGCTTGATTGACGCCTTCGGGGTAAAATGGGTAAGAATATTTTAAAAGAAAAGTGCCTATTCAACAATGTTACTAAGTATCTAATATTTCTACTTATTATTGTGATTGCTTTGTGTGTTATACCATTAATTGGTCGTGCGGATAAAGTTAATGAAGTATTTGTAAATGTCGAACAAGGAAATCTTAGAGGAAAACAAGAGATTGGCATAACAGGGAACAAATATTATAGTTTCAAAGGAATCCCTTACGCAAAACCACCACTGGGTACATTGAGATTTAAGGTAATACGTTGTTAATTGTTTAAATCTAATTATATTTAGTAAAAAAAAATACAACACGCTATTGAAGTAAAACTTCTTCAAACACACAAACATACCGAGATAGGGGTTAAGGAATTGGTTTAATATTATTATTTGTACACTATGAATTTAAATTTTACACTATACATGCCGGAGTTGCCTGTAACGAACGTTGCATTGAAGCGCGTTCGCGACTCAAGCGATCCCCACTACGAACTCGACTACGTGGCCTAGTAGAGGGAGGACATCCGTTGCATGAATTCGTTACATAGCAACTCGTATGAGACAAACTTACCCTACCGTGCGTAAAGAAGTTTCACTTCAACAAAAATTACAGTTAAATGCTACAAAATCAAAAGTAAGTGTTGCTAGTTAACAAAAAACAGTAAACACAGAGAAAATGAAATAGATACGGGACGAAAATTTCATGACAAAAGAAGTTAACAAATTAAAATGTATAAGATCCTAGATTTTACCCGCCGCTTCGCTTGCGTTGATGGCCTAAACACGTGTCAAAAATCATCGAGAAACACATAATATTAATTTTTTGTGACTAAAAAATTTCATGTTGATCGACTGAATAGTTAAGGTGTGAAATCGACCACACTAAACTAATTTTTTCTATCCCCCGGGAACAGTATTTTTTCTGTCTAAAAGGTACCCTAGAAAACTGTTTGTAACACTTTGTTCCAAGACAAGATAACACTTTAATTCCTATTCGTTTTTATATAGTATACTTGTTTGTTATAATACTATTACTTTAGGCACCCCAGCCGCCCGAATCATGGACAGGTATAAGAGATGCAACCGTACACAGAAGTATATGTTTCCAGCATTGGCCTATTTCGGCGGAACCGGCAGAAAACGAATCGGAAGATTGTCTTTACATAAATGTATACACCCCAGAGGTAATTAATGTTATTTTTAAGTAAAATTTAATATTAGAATTACTGACTAAGCACTGCACCAACAGGATCCAAATAATTCCGCAAATAAATTAAAACCGGTAATGTTCTGGATTCATGGTGGCGCCTTTCTAGCAGGTTCCGGTAATTCCGAATCGTTCGGTCCAGATTATTTGGTACAAGAAAATATAATACTTGTAACATTCAATTATCGACTAGGTATCTTTGGTAAGTTGCAAAATTAACAATTGTTGAAATACTTATGCCTAAATTTAGGATTTCTAAGAGTTGACGATCCAAATATTGAAATTCCTGGAAATGCTGCAATGAAAGATATGGTAATGGCATTAAAGTGGACCAAAAGCAATATTGCATATTTCGGAGGTGATCCAGGCAATATCACCGTCGTTGGACAAAGTGCTGGTGGTGCAGCTGCACATTTACTTACTTTATCTCCCTTGGCATCAGGTACTACAGATTGCATTATACGTAAAAATAATTATTAATTCATAATATTATTTTTTATAAGGCCTCTTCAAAAGAGCAATAATCGAAAGTGGTACTGGTTTGGCCATATGGAGCATTGTTTCGCCAGAAACAAAGTCGCTACGTGAAGTAGCCAAAACTTTGAATATGGCACAAAACAGTGAAAGGCAGATAGTAGAAGAATTATACAAATTATCTGACAAGGATGTCGTAGGCGCTCAAAAGCAAGTAAACGTGAGTTACAATAAATACTCTCTCAATCTATGAAAACTATTAAAAAGTACTAAAATTCATTTAAGTATATTCCTGGTGATCCCACGATCTTTGGACCAACAGTGGAAAAATCGTCTAATGAAACCGCATTTATATCAGATCATCCACTTAATATTATTAGATCAGGCAATTATAATAAGATGCCTACTATGTTCGGATATGTTTCGAGAGAAGGGATGTTTTTTAAAAGGAACGGGTTGAATTATCTTACAAGAGATATAGAAGATTTGATTCCATTTGATTGGGGAATTCCACAAGGATCTTCCAAATCAAAGGAATTAGCAGAACAAATTGCAAAATTTTATTATTACGGAGAAAAGCCAACCGAAGACAACGTTGATGTAACATACACGGTAAAAATAACTATTTCCTAAAAACAACACGCAAAATTACCTTTAGCTTTTGACTGAAACGCTAAAATTTCTGTCTTTATGTACGTATATTTCAGCATTGTTATCTAAAAACTATTTTTAGCTATTATCAGATACCTATTTTGTCAATTCAATGTATCAATCCATGAGGGAACAACTGAAAGTGTCAGATGAAAAGGTTTACCTCTACCGTTTCTCCGTTGATGGTAGAAACAATTTGTCGAAGAAACGTAACAATATAACATTACCCGGTAAGCCATTAACAATTCCGCCCTTAAAATACACAACAATACTACGCTAATCACTTATACATCTATACAAATACACTGTAAACTCTCTCTCTCTCTATAGTGAAACTCACGCGATTAAGTATTTTGGTATTAGAGAATTTTCATTATGTACAATTAAAGTATGAGATAGAATTTTACAAATGAGTTAAAGTTATACCACTAGATTGAATTAGGAGCAAATATCAAAAGATGATGACAAAGTGCAGTAACTCGAGATTATACAAGCATGTTTTCATATCTGGAGTATTTTTAGTTTATCGAGATTGATTATGGCGTGCTGATGAGACCAAATGAATTGTGAATAGTAATCCACGTGTGGACGTAGTTTCAATGATTTACTGACTAAAAACTTAATTATTTTCTATCTTCATCTCCCCTATCTGTTAGGGATCACCACCTAACCATTTCCACGATTCCTAAAAAAAATTTAAGAGCTTTTAACCTTTTTTTCCTCTAACGTACCTAGCACCGTCTACGTTTCACACTTGTATAGAACCTTGCTCAAAACATACCTACACCTTTAATAATGAGACTTTTAGAAGAATTTTTGTAGGATTAATTCCAATACAGTAAAGTCAGTTAATTTTTATCACTACAAATAACCTCAAATTAACGAGGAAAAATTGTTGCTGCTGTCATGCCCTCGCCGGGAACCGAACCCGGGCCCCTGGCTTTGCACACCATTGCAGGGAGCTTTTCATGTATTAATAATTCTAAATTTAATAATTTATATTGAAGGGGCCTGTCACGGTGATACCAATTCATATCGATTTTCGGGAGGACGCACCGCCCCAGAAGTGATTCCAAACAGTGTAGAGGACCTTACGATAAAAAGGTTCGTCAAATTGTGCGCCAATTTTGTAAAATACGGAGATCCAACATTTGGACAGAAGACAAATTTGATAAATATTAAGTGGGATCCAATTTCAGAAGAAGAATTTACGTTTTTGGAATTGGGAGAAAATTTATCATTAGGAGTAAATGCAGATATACATAGACAAAAGTTTTGGGACGAGCTGCGTCAGTCAGCAGAAAATTGAATAAATAAACATATTACTAACATTCGAAAATTAATTGAAAACGTTATAAAAAATATACTTTTAGTAAAAAAATGAGCTATCTATTAATATTTCTTCTTCTTCCTTTCGACTACACTGATCCTTTTGCTTCAATAATGTTGGACATGGGTCCAAGTTAATTTCATGGAGGACTTGCACAACACACAAGAAAGCCTTTCCCAGGTAAACGTTCAGACGTCTATTGAAACGACACAAAAAAGTGTGATAGAATCGGTATCAAATGCATTTCAGAAAAAATAGAACGGATCTTTTCGTAATACCTTTAGTAACGTCTTAACACGATTAAATGTGCCCAGTTCTGAAAGGTACGGTCATTGTATTGCATGGACATTTGATGAAAAATTGTTGTGGAATATGAAAGTACCCAGAGGAAGGGTGGTGGTCAATAGAGTCGGCGAGTATAATAGCAATGTACCTAAACTAGTCAAGAAATAGAGACCTAAAATCGTCACAATTTTATAGAAAGACAAATTAGAAATACAAAAAAAAATAATAAAATTTGAGGTCTTCAAATGTCTAAGAACTATCAACCTACACAACATTATTATTATTATTAGATTTATTTTCGACTAAAAGTCAAAAAAATATATGTAAATATTACACAATAGTCAAGTGTATGTAAGGTTTCGTCGTTAAGTAAAAAAACTATAAATGCATCTTTCTTTTGAGAAAAATACAGAAACAAAAAGTAATAGTTAGGGTATACATATAGACAGTAATTGTTATAAAAAACAATAAAATAAAATAAACTAATTTCGCTCTGATTGTAAAATAAATTTCATATAACAATCTGAACTCATTGAAGCATTTAGAATGATAGCAATGAACAAATTATACTATTTTCGCTAATTAACTTCGCTATTGCTGTAGTTTGGGTTCCGGATAGGTTACCATATTGTCCCTTTACATTCTTTAACGTTTCGAGGGTTATATCGCTTTATTCTTCAGAAAGTTAATAATAAAACGTTAAGATCTTCCTAAATGGTCTACACATATACATCGTGTGCATTATCTTTTAAATTTCACGTTTGACCACAAAGTTGAATTTTGATTAATTATTTGCAATCAGTTTCTCCAACTTTAATTTGTTAATATAAATCCAATTTAATTTTTAATATAATATTATGTTACGATCCCTACATTATTCCCTTTCCGGGGAACGGCCACTAAATGGATAAAATTTCTAATAAACAACACTTAAGATACGTGAATTGTCAGGTAAAGGGCCAGTGTCCACGATGGGGTGGGTCCGGACAGGTTGCAAGCGGCGAAAAATTCAGGACATTATTTCACCTTAAAGAGGGTCCGAAATTAATGTGCACGGTAAAATTTCTTTTTTCAACGGGCAAATTCGGTTCTTGGGGTATCCACCACTGTTGGGTCTACAAAATTTCGATTGAATTATTACACAATGGTACCTGCCTGTTACGCAAAGCTGTGAATTTAATCAGCCCTTAAACATGAGGGAACAGGTGCATTTCTGCACCGGCCACGCTTGTCGTTTTCGTAGACTTTTAATAAGCTAGAGACAAACAACCTTTCATCTTTTATGTTATTAATCATAAAATCGTATTAATTTGGTAATTTTCGGAAGTGTTATAATGATAGATGTATAGTTTTTTTATCACGATCTTATTTATTAATACCTACAGAACGTCGAATATTACTATAATCAGAAAAGGTTATCATTTTCATTGTTTTTTTGAAATGTTCAATTGTTGAAGCAGCTCTATCAATTATCATTTATATATTTATTAATACTTTTATCAAGTATAACACTTGGGTTTGCTCAAAGTTTTTACTCAGGAAATCATATCAACTAAAGTAGCAGTCTTCCTTACTTTTATTAGATATTAATGATATCTAAGAAAATGTGTAATGTTTGAAGCTAAAGCTCACAGAATTTCTGGTATTTTACTTTTATATGTTACTTATCTTTCTGAAGTTATTGGATTTAATTAATCGTTATTATAAAAGAAAGTTATGAAATTTTATTGTGGTACAAGCGCTGATGATATTTTTTTCATTTTTCTATAGAATTGGTGCAAATTTCGAAGGCACTAAATAATTGTTTGAATTATATTTTAGGTCAGTATTCACCAATTACAAATATTGAAATTAAATTTCAAGTGATAGTATGAAGCAGTGAGATAAGCTTTTCTGTGGTATAAAATATAATTAAT